CTCTATTTGTGAGAAAAAAATGATCAAAATTTCCTATGGGTACAATGTTGCATGACCGCGCAATTGTCAATCAAAGTGCGGCAGCGCTGAAAGCTGAAAATTGGCCTGGTAAATAAGGGGGTATAAGTGCCTGGTAGGCAAGTGGTTAATCTGCCAGTTTCTAGAATACAACCTGCATGTTTTGGAAGTTATTAATATTAGTATAAAAACTGTTTTCGGGAATTGGTCATAAACTTGTTAACCTCCAATCATCCATCCCTTAAACCGGATAATTGGTCAGATGGTCTTGGGTGACACACCTTTAACATCACAGAAAAATACCAAATATTGATTTGATTTGTATTTATCTTTTGTTCATTTACTTCCTATTTTGTTAATTGATAAAAAAAAAACTAGTAACATTACTATTTCTGAAAGCTTTTTTTAAATTACAGCATTTTTTCACACTTGCCTAAAACTTTTGCACATATACAGGTGAAACTTGAAAAATTATAATATCGTGCAAAAGTTAATTTATTTCAGTAATGCAACTTAAAAGGTGAAACTAATATATGAGATAGACTCATTACATGCAAAGCAAGGTAGTTCAAGCCGTGATTTGTCATAATTGTGATGATTGTGCCTTACAGCTCACGAAAACCCCAAATCCACAATCTCAGAAAATTAGAATATTACATGCAATCAATATAAAACAAGGATTGTGCATAGAACAATATCGGACCTCTGAAAAGTATAAGCATGCATATGTACTCAGTACTTGGTTTGGGCCTCTTTTGCAGCAATTACTGCCTCAATGCGGCGTGGCATGGAAGCTATCAGCCTGTGGCACTGCTGAGGTGTTATGGGAAGACCAGGATGCTTCAATAGCGGCCTTCAACTCTTCTACATTGTTCGGTTCTCATGTCTCTCATCTTTCTCTTGGCAATGCCCCATAGATTCTCTATGGGGTTCAGGTCAGGGGAGTTTGCTGGCCAATCAAGCACAGTAATCCCACAGTCATTGAACCAGGTTTTGGTGCTTTTGGCAGTGTGGGCAGGTGCCAAGTCCTGCTGGAAAATTAAGTCAGCATCCCCAAAAAGCTCGTTTGTGGAAGGAAGCATGAAGTGCACCAAAATCTACTGCTGGTAGACGGCTGCGTTGACCCTGGACTTAATGAATAACAGTGGACCAACACCAGCAGATCACATGGCTCCCCAAATCAACACAGACTGTGGAAACTTCACACTGGACTTCAAGCATCTTGCAGTGTGTGCCTCTCCATTCTTCCTCCATACTCTGGGTTCTTGGTTTCCAAATGAGATGCAAAAGTTGCTCTCATCAGAAAAGAGGACTTTGGACAACTGAGCAACAGACCAGGTCTGTTTTTCTTTAGCCCAGGAGCGGCTTGACAAGAAGAATACAACATTTGAAGCCCATGTCCAGGATCCGTCTGTGTGTCGTGGCTCTTGATGCACTGACTCCAGCCTCAGTCCACTCCTTGTGAAAGTACCCAACAATTTTGAATGGCCTTTTCCTGACAATCCTCTCCAAGCTGCGGTCATCCCTGCTGCTTGTGCACCTTTTTCTTCCACACTTTTCCCTTCCAGATAACTTTCTATTAATGTGCTTTGATATTCTAATTTTCTGAGATTGTGGACTTGGGGTTTTCATGAGCTGTAAGCCATAATCATCACTATTATGACAAAATCACAGCTTGAACTTTCTTTTTTTTTGCATGTAATGAGTCTATCTCATATATTAGTTTCACCTTTTAAGTTGCATTACTGAAATAAATGAACTTTTGCACGATATTCTAATTTTTCAAGTTTCACCTGTGTATATATATATATATATATATATATATATACACACACACACACACACACTGTATTCCCAAAAATATTGGGATGCCTGCCTTTACACACACATGAACTTTAATGGCATCCCAGTCTTAGCCATTAAAGTTCATGGGTCATAGTTACATAGTTAGTCTGGTTGACAAGTCCATCTAGTTCAACTAGGTCAGGCAAACAGCATTCAAGGCCTAAGGACCATCTGAGCTTCTTCCTTTGGCTGTTGCTGTATTCCTTCCCAGCATCCTGAGCTGCATACAGGCACTTCAGTGATGCCATTTTTACAATAAATTGTTTGTTGGTTTTACTGAGCCCAAACCCTGTTTTTGTCTTTTCACATTGAGATTTCAGTGTCGTGGAGGTAGAGAAGTCAGGAATTTACATGTTCACTAGATTTCTGGCAGGATCAGTTATTCTTTATATTTATCCAATAGATTAGAGCAAACCACTTACAATAGTATAGTTAAAAGGGAACAAATTACAGAAGCTCATTGTTAGGGTTTAATACACTTTTGGTTAGTTACAAACCATTTCTTGTCTTAACACACTGCCAAATACCGTCTTAAATAAATATTGTCTTTGCTCGAGGCAGTCCCACTCCCTGCTCCCACAATGGAATGCACCTTACCAACTTATTTAGAATGTTGATGTAGAGCAAAGTTTCTATTTACAGTACATCCTTCCCAGATATGGAGGAACACACTATGCAGTGGAAGCTAGATGACAATTTTAGCACATTAATGGTACAGAACTGCTATTACATTGCCACACTAGTTCATGCATGATTTCCTCATGGTGGGTGCACTTAGAAGGAAATTTATCACATACAATGTAAATAAGCTTATCTCATAAATGAGACAACCATAATACATTGTTCTCTCTGTTCTTCCCAATATGATATCACTGAGAATCAGCAGGAGTTATACTGGGGTTGTGCCCACCTGCCACTATGTAAAGCCATGGTGCACTGAGAAGGAAGAGCATGTATCTGCAGGTATCAGCACATCCAGTGGTTACCTGCAGATAGGGCAAATGTCTACTCCTGGATTCAAACTACATTCAGGGGTGAACATCTCCCCCTAACAGCAGCCAATTGCTGGGTGTGCAGATACATGCTTATAGATGCTGATAGTGGCAGAGAGCCGTGGCACCTATCAGCCTGTCGTCACCTCCGAGTGCTGGAAGTGATTGACTGATGCAACAGAGCGAGTAGAAGAAGTCTGCAGGCTGGTGAGGAAAGGGGATTAGGCTGCCTGGAAGCAAGCAGGTGTATGGGGAAAGGAATGAGCTGCTGCTGCTGGCTGAACAGATCACTGCCATAGCTGACCACAATCACTTGGGAGGACAAGGGGCCCAGAACTTTCTCCCTGGGAGGATGTGAGGTGTGATTTGTGAGATCAGACTGTACTGGAGAATGATTCTACTGCTTATGAGAAAGGAAAGGAGGGACTGTCTCAGCAGGGTTGAAAGTGAGAAATCACAGCAATTGCTATCTGAGGGCTTGAACTGAGCCAAAGCACATGTCCAGAGACCAAGGGGAGGGTGCCCTGGGTCTGGTAAGAGACTAACATTGCACAAATTAATTTGCTGTCTGCTGGGAACTGTTGTTTTTTTCACTGGCCCCAATTTTGCCAGCCAATAGTTTTATTTTATTTCATCAGTCACTGGTCAGTGGGATAAAACTGGGGCTGTTACAGAAAGTTAGGGTTGTCTTTACATACTATTGGTGGATAAATGCAGTTCAGTCCTGTAAATTACTGTTACTTACTGAAATATATCAAGGTCCATATAAATCTGGACACAGGCACAAGTTTTTTCAGGTATTTACCAAAACATATTCAAGCTATAGTTGTATAATGGATATGGGCTGAAAGTGCACACTCTCAAGTTTAATTTGAGGGTATGTACATCCAAATTGGAGGAAGGGTTTAGGAATTACTGCTCTTAACCTCCCTGACGGTATTCCCGAGTGTAGCTCGGGGTAAAGTTTCAGTACCACAAGCGGTAACCCCGAGCTACACTCGGGCGTACCATGCGGCGCTGCTCCACGATCCCTCGATCACTTACCTTGTCCTGCTGTAAGCCGTGTACCGGGGTGGGCTCCCCAGGATACAGTGAAGTCACGAACGAGGAAAGCAACCCCAACACCAGCTTTTGCCACAACAGAATTTTACTTAGATGTGGCAAGTAAACACAACCACAAATGCTAGGAACATACAATAAATTTACATACATCCAGCCCAAAGGCTGAGACCCTTCTGCTGCACAGCATGGCGCCTCCTGATGGATGAAGGTAGAAGGTGTAGTAATTTACCTACTGGTGGGCACAAGCTGCCACACCTTACCTGTTATTACCCTAAGAGAGCAAGAATCAATGTATGGGTGTATGGTATGGGCTAGCCTGCGGTGTAGCACAACAGCTTACAATCTTACACAAATCTACAATATTCCCCCTCCCATAACTGGTCCTGTATCACGTGCCTGAGTATTCCTTCTGAGCAAAACGCCAGTCTGGCTTGAGTTTGTAGGGTTCTTCTATCAGCTCTCCAATGTGAAATGTCACTTTAAGTTGTGGAGTCCTTCCAATAATCGGTATCAACACTTGTGGCCTGACACAAACAGAGACCCTAACTAACTATAGGCCTGAACTCAGTCTATAGGCGCCAACACTGAAATGAGGTGCGTGCATGATCTTACCGATCCAGGTCTGCTTTGCATCCGCTGATGACTCTGAACAGAACAAATGTCTCTCCAACAAGCTTGCGATATTGCAGTGTATGCTGCGTTGTTCCTCTGCTCTCATCAGCATTACTGGCAGCAATCTTCCTTTCTCTGAACAGGATCAGGGTCTTGGACACGATCAGCTTCACTTAGCCGCAGCTCTGGTTACTGAGGGAAGCTCCCACACCTGGATGTCATCGGATTCTCAGCTCACACGGCCCCTTCATTCAGCACCGTTCAAAACAAGGCTGCAGTCTCCTCTTCCTGTTCTCTCCAACTCTGTGTGAAAACTCCACCACTTCATGAATATACAAATATCTATGCAGTCTGAGGCTGTGTTAGAAAAACAGTGACATCTTGTGGTTAAACCGCAGAATGTCAGTCAAAACATTAATTTACTTCCACACAATCAGTGTTCAAACAATGAGAGCTGTTTCCCCATCTCACACTGCGCTCCCGCGATGTCCCTCCTGCAGTGTCCCCGGCAATGTAATCCGGCGGATGCCGGCATCTGTCATCTGGGTTCCGTGCTCTGTGAGCGTCGGGACGTACAGGGGGACAGAACGGCAGGAAATTTGAAAATGACAAAAAGTGACATTCACTAAAATCACTAAAATAACATAGTAAAACATTACTGTATCAAAGCATTTCACATACATTTTGTCCTGTGCTTTGTCCTGGGCCCTGCCTGCATTTTTACTGTTCTTTCTGCCTGGAAACTGAGAAACGTCCATGGCATTCAAAAAGCGTCCCTTTAGGTCAAAACCGGTTTTAGACCAGCTAGAGAACAGCGATAGCAAATTAGAACTACTTGCAGAATTGAGTGATAATGATTTGTGGGGAAATTCATCATCAGACACTGAAAACGATTTTGCAACTTTGCTCAGTGATGTGCGAACTTGGCGCTCTATTTCAAATTTCAGTGTTTTTAGTTTGATTATATTATTGAATTAAATTTATTATTATTATATTATTATTTTTTATGATTATTTATTAAATTATAATTTATGATTTCGTGTTTCAAGTTTTATTCTACCCGGGATGTTTACTAGACTCTTGTTCGGACAGATTTCAGTGAGTTATTACTAAACATTACAGGCCTACAATAAAAAAAAATACATATTTCCATGCAAAAAAATGTACCGCTTTGAGCACAGAAATATGGACATAATCAGACCGCTAGGGAGGTTAAGAGTAGTCATCCCCCCTTTTTCAAGGGACCAAAAGTAATTGGACAATTAAATCAAAAGCTGTTTCATGGCCAGGTGTGGGCTACTCCTTCCTTATTTCTTCATCAATTAAGCAGTCTGGAGTGGATTCTAAGTGTGGTATTTGCATTTGGAATCTATTGCTGTGAACCTACATCATGCGTTCAAAGGAGCTGTCCATGCAAGTGAAACAGGCCATTGTAAGGCTTCAAAAATTAAACAAATCCATCAGACAGATAGCAGCAACATTAGGAGTGGCCAAATCACCAGTTTGGTACATTTTGAGGAAAGAAGAAAGCACTGGTGAGATCAGCAACATAAAAAGACATGGACGTCCACGGAAGACAAAAGTGGTGGACGATTGCAGGATTATTATTATTATTATAATACAGGATTTATATAGTGCCAACAGTTTGCTCAGCACTTTACAATATAACGGGAAACAATACAGCAACAATACAGTTCAATACAAGAGTGATTTGAGGGCCCTGCTCCTTGGAGCTTACAATCTAGGAGGGAGGGGCTAGTGGTACAAAAGGTAGTAACTGTGGGGGATGGACTGGTTAGAAGAGTAGAAGATTCCAGTATTAGCTGAGTGCAGGATAGGCTTCCCTGAAGAGAAAGGTTTTCAGAGATCGCCTAAAAGTGAGCAGAGTAGGCGATAGTCTGATAAATTGGGGTAGAGAGTTCCAGAGGATGGTGGAAGCTCTGGAGAAGTCCTGGAGATGAGCATGGGAGGAGGAGACAAGGGAGCTAGAGAGTAGGAGGTCTTGCGAGGAGCGGAGAGTACGGTTTGGGGGATATTTAGAGACAAGATCAGTGATGTAATTTGGGGCAGAGTTATAAATGGCTTTATACGTTATTGTTAGTGTTTTGAATTTTATCCGTTGGGCAACGGGAAGCCAGTGGAGGGATTGGCAAAGAGGGGTGGCAGATACAGAAGGTTAGTAAGGTGGATGAGTCTGGCAGCAGCGTTCATGATAGACTGAAGAGGGGATAGCCTGCGATGAGGTAGGCCAATGAGGTGGGAGTTACAATAGTCAAGGCGAGATATAACAAGTGAATACGTTGCTTAGTGGTTTCTGAGATTAGGAACGGGCGTATCTTGGAGATGTTGCGATGGTGAAGTCTACAAGATTTGGACAGCGATTGGATTTGGGCTGAAAGGACAGATGGGAGTCTAGGATTATACCTAGTACGCTGGAATGAGGGGAGGGACTGATGATTGTGTTATTGATCTTGATGGAGAAGTCAGGGGAGGGGGCACGGGCTGGAGGGAATACTAAGAGCTCAGTTTTGGAAAGATTGAGTTTGAGGAAGTGGAGTGACATCCATGCCGATATGTCACTTAATAGGTTAGTAATGCGAGTGGAGACTGAAGGGGTGAGGGGTAGAAAGATAGATTTGTGTGTCATCAGCATAGAGATGGTACTTAAAGCCATGGGAGTTTATCAACTGACAAAGGGAGGAGGTGTAGATGGAGAAGAGAAGGGGTTCAGGACAGAACCTTGAGGGACCCCTACAGAAAGAGGGAGTGAAGAGGAGGAGACAGCGTTATAGGTAACACTGAAGGAGTGCTGCAATAGGTAGGAGGAGAACCAGGACAGAGCATAGTCTCTGAGGCCAAGAGAGTGGAGTTTTTTGAGGAGGAGGGGATGGTCAACCATATCAAAAGCCGCAGAGAGGTCAAGTAGTAAGAGTACGGAGTAGTGGCCATTGGTTATAGCAGTTAGTAGATCATTAGCGAGTTTTAGTAGGGCAGTTTCAGTGGAGTGTAGTGAACGAAAGCCAGACTGTAAAGGGTCAAGAAGGTTGTTGGTGAGGTGGGAGCTCAGGCGATTGTAGACTAAGCGTTCTAGGAGTTTAGAGGTAAATGGCAGCAGGGAGATGGGTCTTAAGTTGTTCAGGTTGGTGGGGTCCAGGGACGGCTTTTTAAGCATGGGAGTGATGTGCGCAGGGGCGGACTGACCATTTGGAAACTCAGGCACTGCCCGAGGGCCCAGGGTCAGTAGGGGGCCCCATGAGATGCCCCTGGTACCTTTTTCATAGGCTTTTTTGAGTTTGGGCAAGGACACAGGGGCCCCATGATCCCCTATTGCCCGGGGACCCCATGAGTTGTCAGTCCGCCCCTGGATGTGTGCATGGTTTAGAGGGGAGGGGAAGGCACCAGTAGAGAGGGAAAGAGTGAAGATGTGAGTGAGGGAGCATAGGATGGAAGAAGATGGTGACCGTAGTAGTTGTGAGGGGACAGGATCCAGGGGGCAGGTAGTGAGATGGGCTTCTGAGAAAACCTTAGTGACCTCTTTGGTAGTAGCAAGGTCAAAAGAGGAAAGTGTTGAGGGAGGTTTAGTATAAGGTATGCTAAGTGGGATGGATGTCTGTGCAGTGGCGATGCCCCTACGAATTGCGTCAATCTTGTTTTTGAAATGATTTGCAATCTCGCGAGCAGGGAGTGAGGTACTGGGTGGAGGTGGAGAAAGTAGAGCGTTAAAAGTGGAGAAGAGACGACGTGGAGGACTGGATGACAAGGTGACACCATGAAGGGAGGACTTGTATGTTACGAAAGCAGATTTATATAGGGTAAATGCTTGTTGAGATTTGGTTTCTATGCCACAATCGCTCCAGCACACGACTATGTCGTTTAAGATTTCTGGTGTTGTCAGTCTGCCAAGGTTGTAACGGTCGGGGCCTGATGCTTCGTGTTGTTAGAGGAGCAAGTGAGTCTAATGTGGATGAAAGCTAACTGTTATAGACAGCAGTGGCCAGGTCAGGGCAGGACAGGGGAGAGATTCTGTCGTAGAGTTGGTCAGTTGCAGAGTGGAAGGGAGCAGGGTTCAAGTTGTGAAGGTTTCGGTAATTGCTGCTTGAAGGGATAGGTGTTTGAACGAGGAGACTGTGAAGGTGATGAGATTGTGATCAGAGAGAGGAAAGGGGGTGTTTGTGAGGTTGTAGGGAGTGCAAAGATGGGAGAAAACAAGGTCTAATGTATTCCCATCAGAGTGAGTGGAGGACTGTATACATTGTGCTAATGCAAAAGATGAGGTTATGTTGAAGAGTTGGGATGTAGCTGGGTTGTTGATATTAACAGGGATGTTAAAATCTCCGAGAATGATAGTGGGTAGTTCAGAGGAGAGAAAGTAGGGTAGCCAGGTGGAGAAATCAAGAAAGTGGGACACCGGTCCAAGAGGCCGATAGATCACTGCAATCCTCAGAGAAATGGGAGAAAACAGCCAGATGCAGTGAGTCTTGAAAGAAGAGAAGGATAGAGAGGGAGGGTTAGGGAGGACTTGAAAGGTGCTCAGTGGAGATAGAAGCAAACCAGCCCCACCATCTTTCCGACCACTGGGTCTGGGTGAGTGGGTCCAGTTGAGGCCCACATAGGAAAGTGCTGCGGGGGAAGCAGAATCTTCTGTTTGAAGCCAGGTTTCTGTAATTGCTAGTAGGTTAAGGGAGCGGGTGACAAAAAGGCCATGGACAGAGGTGAGCTTATTACAGACAGAGCTGGCATTCCAGAGCGCACATGAAAAAGGGAGGGTGGTTTTTGGGAGCACGGGGACCGATATTAAATTGAGGGGATTGTGGCTATTCCCGGAAGAAAGAGGATGCCTGGTGTGGGGGTGAAATAGTGGAGGACCAGTGCAGGGGTGGACTGACAACTCATGGGGCCCCCGGAAAATAGGGGATCATGGGGCCCCTGTGTCCTTGCCCAAACTCAAAAAACCCTATGAAAAAGGTACCAGGGGCATCTCATGGGGCCCCCTACTGACCCCGGGTCCTCGGGCAGTGCCCGAGTTTCCAAATGGTCAGTCCGCCCTGGACCAGGGTTTGGGGAGATATCCCCAGAGGTTAGGAGAAGAAGGGTGAGGAAAGTAACATGGGAGCGGGATGTACAGGAGTGCACATGCCTTCCAGTCCTGGTGTTTGGGTATGCAGGAGAGTGAAGTATCAGCAGGAGGTGATGAGAGCAGTAGTAGGGAGATGGTAGAAGTGAGGGTGAGATGTACAAGTTTTGGGGTGGAGCAGAAGGATAAAGATGTGAGATTTTGGGAACGCAGGAAAGTAATATGAAAAGGAGGAGTAGAGGGGACATATTAAAAGGTACACGGAGTGGGACTCAGACTTGTAAGAGATGTTTCCCAGGGTGTTTGCTTGCAGGGAATAGCAGTCAGTGTACAGATATCAGTGTTATTAACACTGATATCTGTACACTGGCTGCTATTCTCTATATGTAACATTGATATGTGTACACTGACTGCTATTCCCTATATATAACACTGATATCTGTACACTAAGTGCCTGCCCATATACAGCATATATCACTTATATCTGTACATTGAGTGCCACTCAGTATTCAGATATCAGTGTTTTATATAGGGAATAGCACACAGTGTACAAACATCAGTGTGATATATATATATATATATATATATATATATATATGTACTGTATAT